CACCAGCAGTGACGTCATCCCTCCGGCTCACGGAGCTCTAAGGCGTTGCTGGCCCTGAAAGGGTTACTGCCTACCAACCGTGCAAACAGACGCACTGGGCGGAGCTTTGTGGTCATGTGACCTAAAAGATGAAATAAAGGGATTTCCATTGAGATTTTTTATGAACGGTACGTGGCCAATAGAAGAGCCTGATCACACGCGTGGCATGCTACAATGCTCCGCGTTCGCCAAAGTGTCCCTCAGTGGTTGGGATGATTTATTTGTATAGGAGGATCAATGGCCACGCCTCCCATCTGTATGTTAATGAGACAGAGCAAATACAATGTAGCAGCAGTAATGTTGTTACATTGTATAGCTGAATGAAGGTTCAGGGATCAGGAGCTCCACCCACTGGGTACAGGTCTGGACCCGCCCCCAACACACCCCGACCAATCTTCACGTTCTGTGTACCGCTATGACCCCGCCCCCTCGACTAATCTCCACTCTCTGTGTACAGATCTGACCCCGCCCCTCCGAACACACGCCAACCGATCTCCAATCTCCTCTCGGTACATAGCTTTTACCACGCCCCACAACAATACCCGACCGACCGCCACTCTCTGAATACGCTCCAACCCCGCCCCCGACCGAAGAGTACAGCTCCGACCGATCTCCACTCTTTAAAAACCGCCCACTGAACGCACACACGCAGACAGCCACAATACATGAGCTGTTCTCTGACTCCTCCCGACATGACGTCACCCTCTTTTTCAACAAACATAAGCGCGAGGATTTTTTCCCTTAGTCCCGCCCCTGACGTTGACGGGGTCTGTCTACAACAAAATGGCTCCTCTTCTGCAGACAGGATGGTTGCTCAGCTGAGCGTGACGTCATCACTTCGCGACCCTCCAGCGTGCCTCTTCTGTCACACGGGACGGCAACTAAAACTTCTCATCGGCATCATGGCGATGCTGGCCGAACGTAAGTGTGTCCCAGCCTCCTCCCCCTCATTTCCTGTGTACCCTCCCGGTTCTGTGCTCCCCCCTCAGCCCCCAATTGGTCCCCTGTAACCCCCTTCCCCTCTGTACCCATCCTGGTCCCCTGTGAATCCTCCCCCCTTCCTTTCTGTACCCTTCCTGGTCCCC